ACACTGTCGGTTGAACACATGGTGGGTTGAACACACGGTGGGTTGATCACACTGTGGGTGGAACTTATGGTGGGTGGAACACACAGCAGGTTGAATACACGATAGGTTGAACACACGGTGGGTTGAACATACGGTAGGTTGAACACACGGTGGGTTGAACACACGGTGGGTTCAAGACACGTTGGGTTCAACACACGATGCGTTGAACACACGGTGGGAGGAACACACGGTGGGTTGAACACACTGTGGGTTGAACATACGGTGGGTTGAACACACGGTGGACTGATCACACGGTGGGTTTAACACACGGTGCGTTGAACACACGGTGGGTCGAACACACGATGGGTAGAACACACGGTGGGTTGAACACACGGTGGGTTGAACACACGGTGGGTTGAACACACAGTGGGTTGAACACATGGTGGGTTGAACACTCGGTGGGTTGAACACACGGTGGGTTGAACACACGGTGGGTTGAACACACGGTGGGTTGAACACACGGTGGGTTGAAAACACGGTGGGTTGAACACACGGTGGGTTGAACACATGGTGGGTTGAACACTCGGTGGGTTGAACACACGGTGGGTTGAACACACGGTGGGTTGAACATATGGTGGGTTGAATTCACAGTGCGTAGAACACACGGTGGGTGGAACACACTGTGGGTTGAACACATGGTGGGTTGAACACACGGTGGGTTGAACACACGGTGGGTTGAACACATGGTGGGTGGAACACACAGCAGGTTGAATACACGATAGGTTGAACACACGGTGGGTTGAACATACGGTAGGTTGAACACACGGTGGGTTGAACACACGGTGGGTTCAAGACACGTTGGGTTCAACACACGATGCGTTGAACACACGGTGGGAGGAACACACGGTGGGTTGAACACACTGTGGGTTGAACACACGTTGGATTGATCACACGGTGGGTGGAACACACGGTGGGTTGAACACACAGTGGGTTGAACACTCGGTGGGTTGAACACACGGTGGGTTGAACACACGGTGGGTTGAATTCACAGTGAGTAGAACACACGGTGGGTGGAACACACTGTGGGTTGAACACACGGTGGGTTCAAGACACGTTGGGTTCAACACACGATGCGTTGAACACACGGTGGGAGGAACACACGGTGGGTTGAACACACTGTGGGTTGAACATACGGTGGGTTGAACACACGGTGGACTGATCACACGGTGGGTTCAACACACGGTGCGTTGAACACACGGTGGGTCGAACACACGATGGGTTGAACACACGGTGGGTTGAACACACGGTGGGTTGAACACACGGTGGGTTGAACACACAGTGGGTTGAACACACGGTGGGTTGAACACACGGTGGGTTGAACACACGGTGGGTTGAACACACGGTGGGTTCATCACAAAAACCCTATGCCAAGTTTGGACGAATTTTGGTCGGGATTGTCTTCGCGTAAAAAAATCGGGACCGAATTTCGACCGACGGTTTGAGTCATTTGATAGGAGCTCCGACACACATCTCGCGACAAGGCTTGGCACGGGTCAAGTTCCAATTTGGCACGCGTGCTGTTCCGGCTGACATTCGCGCGCAATCTGTTTAGGGTCAGTTTTGTGACCAAATCATTTAAAAATGGATTTTGTTTTTGTTTTATTCTGGGAATTGAGGATTTCAGAATTATATTCAATATTCGCGGGTTACAGCTTCCATTATTCAGCATTCTAACAACCAGCAGTTTTAACACCCAGTCAAATAGTCTACGCAATGGTGGGCCCTGCAAGCCCCCGGTAGGCAAGAACAACATCTCCAAGGTCGCCATCGTCGATGAGGAACTTGTTCGGGAAGACGAACGCACCCTGAGCCGGATCGTGTGGGATGCGTCGCTCCACAACGGCAAAGTGTATCATCTGTTTGACCTTGTCACACCACTCGAAGTAGTCCGGCCTGTTTTGTTCCGGCTGGGCCGGAATACGCTTGCGGCGCTTGTCCTGCAGAAGGGGCCACTCGATCTGCAATGTGGTGAAAGGTTGGGTGGATGGTGTATGAGGGGAGGTTATGGGCATATGATCCAACTGAAAGCAGTGAAGACGTCACACCCTACGTAACCGCAAACGCCTAAGCGACCTGGGGTTTAGATGAAGTACAGGCGAGGGGTTTAGGGGATGAGGCATGGGTGTAGTGTCACTTATCTGCCTCCTTACCGAAAACAGGCCCCATGCCACCATGCGGCTCTTGAACTTTGTGAACACGACCCCGCTCCTCTTGAAGGAGAGCTTGAACGCATAAGCAAACAAGGGGTTGCTGAAGGGCGTTCCGGTGGCCTTGTCAAAGTGCCAGTTGAGGGCCCACTGTTCTGCATTTTGGGAGGGAGCGTATGGGTTGGAAAGGGGGTGCAGATAGATCAAGTGGGGGGGTGAGAGACAGGGTCAGAATACCACGGCACGGTTATTTGTAGCTGCTGACTGGCTTATGGGCAGGGGGATATGGTGTGTTTGAGACGCACATACAATCTCTGTACTCGGCCAGGAGCTGCTCGTCGTTGAACCACTTCTCCGGGCGTAGCTCAGTGGGCAGGCTATCCACCGCATTGGCGTAATCGGAGAGACCCATGCCGGCGTACGTTGCTGGCCTGAGGGTGCTGTTGATTGTTGACCTGGTTGATGACATCTGGTAGTTGAAGACAGCCATGGTTGACTTGTCGTTGTGCAACCACAGCAGCTTCAATGACTCTAGCCCTTCGTGAGACAAGTGGACAGCGAACGCCTCGAACACTTCCTCCGGTGCAGGGTAATACTGAATCTTCTCCGGGGGGTTCAGAAACAGGAGCTGAGAGCACACTAAGTAGGCTTTGCTCTGCGCATGGGTGTGGATTTACAACACGACACGGGGAGAGAGAAACCATCAATTATGACTCTGGCGCGTGACCAACCCTACCGCGTCCGCCACATCAGGGAGGAACCAGCCCCACTTGCCACGTCATATCCACCCACCCCATGCCACGTCACCTCCCACCCACCCTCCTGCATCCGCCAAATCCACCAAAGACCCTCCCCACGTGACACGTCACACCCACCCTCCCCATGCCACGTCACCGCCACCCACCGCACACGTGTAGCGTCGTCACGCGCCGCTCCCGTGTACCCTTCCAAGCCGCCACGTCAGCACCAAGCCACACATCCCGCCACGTCACACGCCCTTGCGTCTGCCACGTCAGGGATCAGCCAGCCCCACGTGACACGTCACACCCACCCTCCCCATGCCACGTCACCCCCCACCCACCTGACACGTGTAGCGTCGTCACGCGCCGCTCCCGTGTACCCTACCAAGCCGCCACGTCAGCACCAAGCCACACATCCCGCCACGGCACACCCTCCTGCATCCGCCACGTCAGGGAGCAGCCAGCCCCACGTGACACGTCACACCCGCCCACCCCATGCCACGTCACCCCCCCCTCACCTGACACGCGTCGCCTCGTTGAGCGCCGCTCCCTTGTGCCCTTCCAAGCCGCCACGTCAGCACCAAGCCACACATCCCGCCACGTCACACGCCCTTGCGTCCGCCACGTCAGGGATCAGCCAGCCCCACGTGCCACGTCATACCCGCCCACCCCATGCCACGTCACCAAGCCACCCACCGCACACGTGTAGCGTCGTCACGCGCCGCTCCCGTGTACCCTTCCAAGCCGCCACGTCAGCACCAAGCCACACATCCCGCCACGGCACACCCTCCTGCATCCGCCACGTCAGGGAGCAGCCAGCCCCACGTGACACGTCACACCCGCCCACCCCATGCCACGTCACCCCCCCCTCACCTGACACGCGTCGCCTCGTTGAGCGCCGCTCCCTTGTGCCCTTCCAAGCCGCCACGTCAGCACCAAGCCACACATCCCGCCACGTCACACGCCCTTGCGTCCGCCACGTCAGGGATCAGCCAGCCCCACGTGCCACGTCATACCCGCCCACCCCATGCCACGTCACCAAGCCACCCACCGCACACGTGTAGCGTCGTCACGCGCCGCTCCCGTGTACCCTTCCAAGCCGCCACGTCAGCACCAAGCCACACATCCCGCCACGGCACACCCTCCTGCATCCGCCACGTCAGGGAGCAGCCAGCCCCACGTGACACGTCACACCCGCCCACCCCATGCCACGTCACCCCCCACTCACCTGACACGCGTCGCCTCGTTGAGCGCCGCTCCCTTGTGCCCTTCCAAGCCGCCACGTCAGCACCAAGCCACACATCCCGCCACGTTACACGCCCTTGCGTCTGCCACGTCAGGGATCAGCCAGCCCCACGTGACACGTCACACCCACCCTCCCCATGCCACGTCACCCCCCACCCACCTGACACGTGTAGCGTCGTCACGCGCCGCTCCCGTGTACCCTACCAAGCCGCCACGTCAGCACCAAGCCACACATCCCGCCACGGCACACCCTCCTGCATCCGCCACGTCAGGGAGCAGCCAGCCCCACGTGACACGTCACACCCGCCCACCCCATGCCACGTCACCCCCCCCTCACCTGACACGCGTCGCCTCGTTGAGCGCCGCTCCCTTGTGCCCTTCCAAGCCGCCACGTCAGCACCAAGCCACACATCCCGCCACGTCACACGCCCTTGCGTCCGCCACGTCAGGGATCAGCCAGCCCCACGTGCCACGTCATACCCGCCCACCCCATGCCACGTCACCAAGCCACCCACCGCACACGTGTAGCGTCGTCACGCGCCGCTCCCGTGTACCCTTCCAAGCCGCCACGTCAGCACCAAGCCACACATCCCGCCACGGCACACCCTCCTGCATCCGCCACGTCAGGGAGCAGCCAGCCCCACGTGACACGTCACACCCGCCCACCCCATGCCACGTCACCCCCCACTCACCTGACACGCGTCGCCTCGTTGAGCGCCGCTCCCTTGTGCCCTTCCAAGCCGCCACGTCAGCACCAAGCCACACATCCCGCCACGTCACACGCCCTTGCGTCCGCCACGTCAGGGATCAGCCAGCCCCACGTGCCACGTCATACCCGCCCACCCCATGCCACGTCACCAAGCCACCCACCGCACACGTGTAGCGTCGTCACGCGCCGCTCCCGTGTACCCTTCCAAGCCGCCACGTCAGCACCAAGCCACACATCCCGCCACGGCACACCCTCCTGCATCCGCATCGTCAGGTAGCAGCCAGCCCCACGTGCCACGTCACACCCGCCCACCCTATGCCACGTCACACCCCACCCACCTGACATGCGGCGCCTCGTTGAGCGCCGCTCCCGTGTGCCCTTCCAAGGTGCCACGTCAGCACCAAGCCACACATCCCGCCACGTCACACCCTCTTGCGTCCGCCGTCTAAACCCACCAACCCAACCCACTTGCCACGTCGCACACAGAGATCCGAAAGAGCCACGTCAGCCCCCGCCCACGTGTGGAGTCACGTGTCGCCCTGCACCGCTCCCGCGCACCCTTTCCAACCGCCAGGTCATTCCCAACCCTGCCCTGGTTGCCACGTCAACCCCAACCCGCCACATACCGGGAATGGGTTGGTCTCCTGCAGCACAAGCACACGTGCCTTGTCCACGGCACTCATCGGCGGCGGGGTACCACCCATCGGCACCACTGCGGCCCCCCCGGCATAGCTGGCAGTTGCTCCCCGACGCAGGCCGAGCTGAGCAAACATGGCGTACATCTCAGACCGTAGCTGCTGGAACTCGTCTCGTGTAACAAACTGCCCGTGCTCTGCACCTTCAGCCAGCGCATCCATGACATCCGGAAAAGGGTGTGTAGAAACCCCTCTCTGGCCAAGGGGATCAACGTCTTCTGCAGCAGCACCGTGTGCCCTCACACTATCACGCTGGCGGGAAAAGGGAAGCTCAGGGAAGGGATTGGCAAAGGTGCTTGGTTGATGCACACGCGATGGACCGGCGAGGGGGGAGACCGCCCTGCCCCGGGTTGGAGAAGCGTGTAGTGGCCGAAATGGGTATGAGGGAGAGGCGAGTGGGGAGTGCGTGACGGGGGCTGGTGGAGGGGATTCGGATTCCTCGCCTGTTGCCGCGCCGGGTGCAGTCGCAGCGACTTTGCTCGGGCCGGAGTATGGCGTGAAGAACCTTGGTCCTCCTGTGGATAGCGGTGCCACACTCGCTCTTCCGGCCCCTTTCGCTAGCTGCATCCGTTGCACGGTTACCGGTGGCCCAATGCCTGTAACACGGGGGGCTGAGAGTCACACGGAGGATGAGCACGGAGCTGGTGTCTGTAAGGTGCACTAGGACACGTGCAAACATGACGAGCAACCGCATGATTCTAACATGGGTGTAGCACGGAACTGTAGTGTATAGTCACGCCTTACCCGGTTTAGCCGATTCGTCAACCTTCTCCTTCCCTGCGGCGGGAAAAGACGGGTGGAACACGGTGTTGTTAGGGTCTGTTCAGCACTAACCGCGGCAGCTATGCCAGTCGTTTGTGACACGTTGCTTACCACGTTGCTGTCCCTTCGGTTTTGCTGCCAGCTCCTTATCGTTGCCCCGTTTCCGCGGTGTGCTTTGGCGGGTGCTGCCTCGTTTACGGGCAGGTTCTTTCTTTGCCGAACCCACAGGTACCCCTTTCGCGCGCGGTCCCTTTCCGTCTCCATCGCCTTTAGCTCCCTGTCTCACTTGCTTCCTTCCACCCCGGTCAAGTTCAACCTTCACCTTACGCGCCTTCGATTTGCCCGCTGGTCCGCCACGCATTGCGTCACCCGCCCCGCGTTTCCGGGATTGTCCAGACCGGCCCCCAACCTTCCCTGTGCCACTCCCCCGCCCGCCTCGCGCGCCCCGTCCTTTCCCTGCCGGCTCCTCCTCCTCCTCCTCCTCATCCGCCCCTTCCTCCACCTCCTCTTCCTCCTCGTCGTCCTCCTCCTCCTCATCCTCCTCCTCATCATCCTCCTCCTCCTCTTCCTCCTCCTCCTCCTCCTCCTGCTCCTCCTCCTCCTCCTCCTCCTCCTCCTCCTCCTCATCCTCCTCCTCCTCCTCCTCCTGCTCCTCATCCTCGTCGTCCCCCTCATCGTCCTCCTCATCGTCCTCATCCTCATCCTCCTCCTCCTCCTCCTCCTCATCATCATCGTCGCCCTCCTGCTCATCCTCGTCCTTTTCTCCCTCCCCTGCATCCTCGTCCTCCTCCTCCGCATCCTCCTCGGCCTCCTCCTCCCCATCCCCCTCGTCCTCAACATCCGCTTCACCAGGGCCTTCTTTGCCGCGCTTCGGCCTATTCCCCCCCGAAGATTGCTTCCCCCTCCGTCCGCTAGATGGTTTCCTCGGACCGGATCCCACCTTATGCCGCATTGCATGATCTGTCGCCAAGCCACTTGGCGCCGTGGTGCCTCGCATTGTCCCAACTTCAGCACCACCGGCGTCGTCACCGCTGGCTGTCGTCTGCCTCCTCTTCGCGCGTATGGGCATGTCCTCAGCCACGGGGGTGTCATTCTCCTCCTCACCATCGCTCTTCCTCTGCCTACGCCTCCCGCGTCCCCCAGAGGGAGGAGATCCACCTACGTCGGCAATGTCGTGTTTCGGCCGCTCCGTGCAATTGTGCGCAGCATCCTTCTCCTTATCTATCACTGCAGCAGATATTTCGACCACGAGCGGGGGGGGCAGCGTCAGATGCTGCTGCTTTGCCTCTGCCACGGACGGCGAAGTTGCGGCCTGATCTTGGCGGGGAGAGTCGCCGTGCTTTCCTCCAGTCGCAAAGCCCTCTCTGTCCCCCGACCGGACGGCAACACTCACGCCGCCACGCCCAGGGTCTTCGTTCCCGCCGATGGTGCCGTCGTCAGAATGACCGGGCTCAAGGGCAGCAGTGGCAACATACGCATCGCTCCTGACGGCCGAAACACGCTTGCGTGCCGTTGGTTGCTTCCCCTTGTCCTCCGCCTTCTTCCCGGGCTTCTGCTTTCCCACCTCAGCCTTTTTCCCCGCCGCACGTTTCGTTTGATTGGTTTGCGCGGCGGCCTTTTTGGTAGCCCTAGATCTGGCCCCACCCTCTTGGTCGGTCTGATGCGACATCCTTCGTGTCGTGCGTCGTTTCGCCTCCTCCTGCTTTTCTGTTTGCCGAGTAGCAGGTGTCATGAGGGTGGTACGAATGCAAGTTTTAAATTGCGGGATTGGGTAGCTGAGTTTAAAAAAGAAAACCGGAAAGGTTTGTTGCTATTTGACCCTGTCCCGGTGAAGCCAATACTTTTTCACCCTAATCGGAAGGTACAATTACACCTGAATTAGTAGCTACTAATCACATGGCGTCAGCCCTTTCCTTCGTCGCTACTCCGTCTAACTGGCGATTTGGAAACACCTGTGTTCAGCAGCGAGGGGCGTCAAGGTAGTGGGTATGAGGGTGACGGAAGCTAGTGAGTGGGGCACGACGGTAGTTGGGGTGGTTTGCGAGTCTATGGAGAGGACTGTAAGCAGAACACGCACCATCGAACGGTCTACGATTTGCCACCCGATCAGAAACGCACTACACGCTTGATCACAGTCGCTGCTTCCGCGGCGAATGTCCAGCTTGGCTGGTGCGGTAGTGGGGAGGGTCGTTTGAGATGCGTCGGCCAATCAGCGCCATCGCATCAATCTCCACAGAATGTAGTACCGTTTCGACACCACCAATTATCACATCCTGCAAAATACAGTGCCTAGTGCATTGATCAAATTTTAACATAGTAGCTGAATACACTTGCAAAGTACAACTAAGACAATTTGAAGTGAATAGCCGTTTATGGTGTCATATGGTGTGAAGTTTAGTGAGTGCATGGGGCTTAGGACGCACTCTTTGTGCTTCCAACTCGTGGACTATGGAATGCTATACTGAGCACACATTGCGAATGGGCGACCGATACTGGTCGTTGGAAGTTGTTCAAGCACGACGTGTACTAGTGCCAACTGGAATGGAGATGTAGTGTGGTGTTGGCTTGGGCTCCATTCTTGCGTGGGCCCTCGACATGGTGAATTGAGGGTGTGGGATGAAGCACAGGCCCAACGCACGAGCGTTGATGCGCAATCGACATCGCAGTTTAGTTTGGCGACGGTGCTGCGTTCGCATCCATACAAGGCTTGCGCGACCAGGCGTATCCGTTGTGGAATGGTGTTGGATGGGGCTCCATTCTTGCATGGGCCCTCCGCCAGGTGCATTGAGAGTGTGGGATGAAGCACAGGCCCAACGCACGAGCGTTGATGCGCAATCGACATCGCTGTTTAGTTTGGCGACGGTGCTGCGTTCGCATCCATACAAGGCTTGCGCGACCAGGCGAATCCGTTGTGGAATGGTGTTGGATGGGGCTCCATTCTTGCATGGGCCCTCCACCAGGTGCATTGAGAGTGTGGGAAGAAGCACAGGCCCAACGCACGAGTGTTGATGCGCAATCGACATCGCAGTTTAGTTTGGCGACGGTGCTGCGTTCGCATCCATACAAGGCTTGCGCGACCAGGCGTATCCGTTGTGGAATGGTGTTGGATGGGGCTCCATTCTTGCATGGGCCCTCCGCCAGGTGCATTGAGAGTGTGGGATGAAGCACAGGCCCAACGCACGAGCGTTGATGCGCAATCGACATCGCTGTTTAGTTTGGCGACGGTGCTGCGTTCGCATCCATACAAGGCTTGCGCGACCAGGCGAATCCGTTGTGGAATGGTGTTGGATGGGGCTCCATTCTTGCATGGGCCCTCCACCAGGTGCATTGAGAGTGTGGGAAGAAGCACAGGCCCAACGCACGAGTGTTGATGCGCAATCGACATCGCAGTTTAGTTTGGCGACGGTGCTGCGTTCGCATCCATACAAGGCTTGCGCGACCAGGCGTATCCGTTGTGGAATGGTGTTGGATGGGGCTCCATTCTTGCATGGGCCCTCCGCCAGGTGCATTGAGAGTGTGGGATGAAGCACAGGCCCAACGCACGAGCGTTGATGCGCAATCGACATCGCTGTTTAGTTTGGCGACGGTGCTGCGTTCGCATCCATACAAGGCTTGCGCGACCAGGCGAATCCGTTGTGGTACGGTGTTGGATTGTCATCTAACCTTGCACGGACATTCAAGTAGGTGCCTCAAAGGGGTATGAAGCAGAACCACAACGCACAATCGGCGATGCGTTATCGTGAGGGCACGAAGTTCTTGTGTACTTCCCGTATGTTGCCAGACCACACTAGAGATCTTGTATGGTTTTTAGACTGTCACGTTGTCAACTAGGGGTGGATCTCGAGCAGGCATTTTCATGTGACCGTGTAGTAGTTATCATCAACGAGTTTAGTGTATAGATTAAATGCAATTGTACAATGTAATATCCTGCGCTGTATTTTGTCCGTTGTCGAGCTCACCACTGTGAGCTCACTAACGTGAGCGCGATCTCCCCCGTATAAGGGTTCATTCCCGGTTGGTGGCAGGGCAACTGTTCACATCGAGTTGGTGGCAAGTGTACCCAAAAATTCAGTGGGCCGGAAAATGCGCTTGCCACCAACAGTTGCCCTCCCACCAACTCAGGAATGCACCCTAGCAATTCGCAACTGAACTACAGATCCAAACGGATCTCTTCCCGCTCTTCCTCATCCCACTCGACTCTCACACACCAAGAGTGCGTTTATCCACAGGCACGTCCTTCTCACGCACACACAAGACCTACCGTCTTAGAATCAAGCGCATTCTCCGCTGCTCACGTCGTGGTCTGTCAAAACGGGGGCGACACGCCTTGTAGGGAAGACGACCCGGGATGTGAGCGGTTTGTAGGGTGCCTTGTCACGACCGCGCGGCGCGCACATCGTTAGGCACGTCCAAACATAAGCTGCCCGCTCAAGTGCCAGTCGTGCAGTGATACAAGCCGCCTTGAACAGTGCGCGGTTTGGCGATGACCGTGTTGCATTACCAGCCTTCTTGCACGGAGTACGTAATGCCTTCTCAAGCTTCCCACGACGCTCGTTGCTTCACAGGCCATTCCTCAACACTTAGACAGATCCGTACCGCATGGGCTCCTTACCTGGCGTCGTCTGCGAGTTTTGCACTAGATGGTTCCCCAACGCCCAAGTTTATGGCGGTCACAAGTCACGGCGGACCCCTTGCCAAGGCCTTTCCGCCGTGGCAAGGCCCTCGCAATCTGCACCATCCGCCGGACTACACGCAGTGCTATTCGTGCAAGAGATTCTGTCGGACGCTCCCGCTGCTCCCGCTTCACCTACCTCGTCTAATGCGTCCAACACCGACGCTGTGAATGGTCCTCCTCGCGTGCATGAAGCTGAAGATGACGCAACACCCTCGGCTGGGAACGTGGGGGCTTCTGAATCTGAGCATCAACCGCCACCCGGAACACCTGCAGATGACACGAGTGCGGTTCCGGGGTGCCGCCCTGGAGTGAGTCACGCGGCCCCGCCGACAATCATCTCCGGGGAGAGCAATGCGACGCCCCTCAATCCGATTGCGGTGAAGCTGCTGCACTTCGTGAGGCGTGTAAATGGCGGAATGGGCATGGCGGAGATCGACATCAATGGCCTGCTTCAGCTCGTGGTGGAGCCCGGCCTTGCGCCTCTTGTGATCTCAGAGATCCGGAACTGCAAGGATCTGGAGAGGTTCGAGATGGAGCGCTTGGTTGGGCTCAATCGCGGATGGTCAGTGGCGACCTTCGAGATTGAGGGTCATCCTCCACAACGCCTCCTCTTCCAGAACTCTGCGCAGGTAAGCCGGCCGTGGATGCGTGGCTGCGAAATGCAGATTCCGCCTCCATTTGGTCCATGTGTGCGATCCGACCCTTCCCCGCTCCCGCCACTAAACCCCTGTTTGGTTCTCCCTCGCTCTTGATGCCGTACTCCAGGCTTTTGCTGAACTGTTTGGGCACACCAACAACGCGCCCGGCTTCAAGCTCAAGGCTTGTGTCGATGAGGACCATGGCACAGGCGAGCGTCGCTATACCACGCCAGAAACTGGAACGTGGTGGAACGAGGCTCAGGTATGTAAATACCCCGCTGCCACCCAAAACCACACGCGTGCGCCGTCCTCCGTTGACGCGCTGATGTGGAGGGAGCATCTTCAGTGCGTCATGTTAGTGGGGAGTGTTGTGTACCATGCTTAATCCGCCAGGCGACACATTACCTTGGTGGTGTTTGACCGTGGAGGTTTTCCGTCTTTGTCGTGCATGCAGGAACACTTCGGATGGTCCGAAGTCGTGGGGGGTATCATCCTATATTCGGATGTGACGCACATGAGCAACAACGGCCGGAAGAAGGCGTGGCCGCTCATGATGACGCTTGCCAACATCTCCCAGGCCAAGCGATGGGGGAAAGCCGGGCACACGCTACTTGCTCTCCTTCCTATCCCCCCTTCGGCAATGTCTGCTGTTGAAAAGGTGATGCTCTTCCAGCGATGCGTCCTCACCGTGCTACAGCCGCTTCTGGATGGCATGGACAGGTACGTACTCGATTTCCGTCATGCTATGTCGTCACCGTGTGCACAGGGCATAGTGTGCGCAGCGCTTTTGTATGTTGCATTACCCTTTGCCCCTCCTCGCTGATGCACAGAGTCGTCATGGCTGTTGACGTTACCACTCTACCCGTTCCTTGCAGCGGCTTCCGTCTCAGGGACCCTTTCGGTGATTGGCAAACAGTGCGGCCACTGCTGTACGCCTGGGTGTGCGACTACCCCGAGAGCGGCAAGATTAGTTGCACACTCTCGCATGGATCGCGGATGCCGTGCAGCATCTGCTATGCTGCCAAGGTGAGCAAACATGCCATGTGAACGCCTTCAGCGCCATCGTCATCTGACTGTCGCATGACGGACCTCCTAATTTTTTCACCCTTACCAGTTCATCCCATCCCACCCCCGGTGCTACACCAGGAGCATTTAGTTGCTGTCAAGGCACGGAACACGCCGCGCACGCCTGAACAGCAGCAATGGATCGTGAATGAGGCGGCTGGGTTGACATCAAGCCAGGCCGACCCATGCAAGACCTACGCGACCTACCCGGTTGAGGTGAGCGACCTGTTCACCGCGCTACTTTCCTGTCTAAGCACTCCGTGCTGAGAAGCCCTGGGGGAGATGTGCACT